ATTGTGATAACTGGGATATTGTAGGAAACAAGTAAATAGTTGTGTACATTATTTCTGAAACAATTTGTACCTTTACATTAAGTACTTTATCTAATTTATATCTCTCTAAAAAGAAAACATCTAAAATATTTCTTGGATGTTATTAAAGATTTTTCTTTGCAATCAGAAAAGAGAATATAAAAATTGAAAAAAATACATAACTTTGTCCTCTAATAATATTAGAGAGCATTACATATGCTATTATTATTCTATGGCATGACTGGCAATATAGTTTACCTGTCCTAAGCACATTTTCAATAGCTGAGTCCTTCAATTTGTCGAAAAAGTTTGTATTTATTTCACAATCACTTTTGATCAGAGATACTGCTTTCAGTGCCAGTGTAACTGAAGTCTGTGGCAATCCTCTTACTGAAACTTAAGTACTCAGGTCCTTTTTTCTTTGCAGTGAGGATATCATAATGAATTTGAGAAGGGCATCAGTAAATTGCTCATTGTTTTTACACTTTGAAGGGAGGGACCCATTTGAAATTCATCTAGAAACTAAATTCAACTCCTAGTATTGTTTGGATGTTCTCCTGTTAACCAAGAAATTAAGAGAGCAACCCATCAGTTATGTTGGAAGTCCTGAGAGGAAATACAGAACAAAAAGATCAATATGCTTTCTGGGAAAAGAGGCTAGATGGCTTGGTTAACTGTGACTCCCTTCTGTATGAAATATGACATTTACTGCTTTTATTTATACTGAGGCAAATTCAGCTCTAGAGAGATTCAGATGTGAGGCCTCTGAAATCAGCAGCCAGCCTCGGTCTGAATTTGGTGCAGTGTGTTCCTCAGTACAAAAGATTATTTCCCTGCTTTTGTCGCTTAAATTTACAGGTACTAAACAAAAATGCCTTAGTCTTGGTTCAGGTTTACAAAGCTACATTGTAGAAAATAGGAATTTAAGCAGGGAGATAAGACTACATGGCTGCACTTGCATCTGATTCAAACAAAGAAACAAAAACCAGTTCAAATGAAAAGTGCTCTGAGTTATCACCATTTTTTTAAAGCCATATAAATTGTGAGAGCTAGTCCTTTTATTAAAAGAGAAGAATATGTAGTTCTATATAAAATCAAAAGTAATTTTCTTGAATAGTCTTTCCATATGTAATTTAACTTCAATTTAATTCCATATGTAATGTAACTTCAATTTAAATCTCTTTTGGTCAGGGAATATTTTGCCATGCAATGGTATGGTGTTTCCTTTAAAAGTTATTGTCAGAAATATAATGTTTTTAAGAGCTGAGAACTCAAATTCTCATTGTTATTGCTCATAAACCTCATAAGTTATTGCTTATTAATCAGGAAAGCAGAGATATCTGGCCCTATATGCATTTTTTTTGTGGATGTAAAGGACAATAATAGTGAAGAATTTCTTGCTGGACTGCTGGTGTTCAACCCCTTGCTCTCAGAGGGGATAGAAGTAGTTCTGGGGATCAGAGAGAAGTGGTCAGTTTGCTGTCCCTTGGTCACATACCTGCAGTCATCAAACACATGAGGCTCAGGAGGCACTTGGTACACTCAGAACACAGCAGCATAACAACCATACACTTGTTTTACTAAAGTCATGTAGAAGTAAGGACTCATTGTGCAAGGACATAGTGGGCAGAGGAGGTAGGAGGATGTGTCACATTTTAAACTGTTTTGCCTGCCCTACTCATTTTGCATTTTAATTTTAACATTTCTAGTGCTTATTTAGAATAAGATGTACAAGTATGTGGGAGCTACCCTTTAAAGTTTTAAAAGTTGGGTTTTTTTCTTGGGACCCCAGAGGGTCTAAATAGATCCATCTCTAAGCTCTGGCCAGTTAAGCTTTCTTCCCTCTGTGAAGACAGGCCAATGCAGAATTCATTGCAGGTTCAGTGTATAAATTGCATAAATTGTCTCTAGCTTCTGCCTGGACTACGGGGTCAGCAGGGCTTTGCATGTTTCCCAGTCTGGAGGGTCATGACAGGATCAAGGACATAATATTTTTGCACCTATTCAATGGCATTAATGTCATCAGCAGCCCAGCTGCAACATTTATTCAGTGGACAGCAAAACCAATGAAGTTGTATTTCCTACAGGTTTGTGTATTTGTATTTTTACAAACGCACATTCCTTGCACTCCCTTGTGTCACCACTTTAAATGTCTCACCTGTTTTCTCCCCTTTTTCTCCAGTTCCCTCCTCTAGTCCCTTACCTGCCTCCAAGTTCTTCACTGCTGCTCAGGCACAAGGAGTGATTCACAAAGAGTGATTCACTGGACAAATAGCGACTGGACACTGTGGAGTTTGCCCTGGAGTTTCCTCCCATGGAGGGAGCACTGTCCTGCCTTTCTTTTCTGCACTATGTTGTAGGAACACACTATGTTGTAGGAATTTAATATTTGTGTCCACCAAATTTAATATCTGCCAGTGGGTTCAGAGGTCTTGGGTTGAGGAAAGGTTCATTAGTGTATAAGCAGACACCATGCAAAGACAAATCTGAATTCAAAGGGGAAAAAAAGGCTTATCTGGTAGGAAAAAGTTGGTGTATACACACACAGTAAAGATAGTCACAGAATGCACAGTTTCTGTCTTTGCCTTTGTGCAATGCTCTCCCTTAGCTAATGAATGTAATGCTTTAAAAGTGTTGGATTAAAATTCAGAGGGAGTGAATACTCTGTTTGCCTGCCAAACCAGACAGATCACTGCACTGGTTGCCTTGCTGGCTGTGAATATTTTGTCCTTGGTTACCATTACCATTGCTGCAGCTGTGCCTGATTTGCTGATTCACTTTGGTGACTGTTTCTCAGTTCCTCTGTTGGGATTTTTCTCTAACTGGTAACATAACTGCTTTTAGTCTTTGAAGAAGTAAGGAAAAGTCACACTGTTCCTCATACTAATTTAAAATCTTCTCAGATTTACCCTGGGATATGTACAAACTGTTGTATTATAAAGAATTTCCACAAGAGGAAGAAATGAATGTCATAGCTGCCTTAATACAATGCCTCTCCTAGCAAAGGATTGACTATAAAAGTAGTTTTCATCTTATGCAAAATATATTAAAAGTCTCATGGAAGGAAAAGCTTTTCTGTTGACTTCATTGTACTCTGGAGCAAGTCCTAGCAGCATAAATCTCACCTTCACCTTATCTTTCTAATCTGACTGATGTAAATGATTGTCTGTTTTTTGGCTCGGAGTTAAAAGCTGCCAAAGGACAGTAGAATATTTTAGATCAACCAGAAATTCTTGATTTCAAAGTACAGTTCCAGCTCATTAAAAAAACAGTAAGTTTTTCTAATCATGAAAATTTAAGCTCCTAGAAACTATATTTGCATTATTTCCTCTCTAACCTAAGGAACAAATCATGGAGTCAGCTGACACCACCTTGTCCTTTTCAAGCAAAGTCTCCTATAAGTCTGCATAGTCTGCTGGTAAGCCATGTGCCATCCTAGCAGGTGTTTGAAATTAATTTTGTTTATTTTACTTTTAAAAAATAACTACTTTGCTTTTTCAGTTTATTTGGTGCTTTCTTTTAGACATGAAATTTCATTCTTTTGTTTTTAAGCCATTAAACATTTGTAACTATTTCTGACAAGCATTCTCACCATAATATATGTTAAAGTTGTATGGAGAACACAAATCAAAATCTTGATAAAATAACATGTGCATTGAAATAAAATCCCACAGAAATCCAAAGGCATGGATACGTTAACCCAGGTGAGTGTTTGTAGTACAGAGGTTTTATATGGCATGTTTATGTACGATTTATATTAATTTTTGAAAGTATTAATTCTGAATTTTCAAATAGCCAGTGGTCATGTACATATTTCTTAGTGTCACTGTCTTAGCTAAGAAAAAGATTGTTTTCTGGTATATCACATGTATATATCCCATTTTACTGTCATTCAGAGCTTGAGGTTTTTGAAAAAGAGATATTTCAATTTGAATGTATTTTACACCTGACTCAGCTTTTTGTTTTGTTTCATACTAGCAACTATTTAAAGAAAAAACCCAACTTTATATTTCAAGTATCTTAAAACGACCTTTCCTTTTCCCTGAAGACTGCTTTGACTAGCAATATTTGTGACAGATACATTAGCACAGTTTGTGAGCAGTGCAGCAGTTTGGCCATTTTTCCTAATCCTCATTTTCATAGCTGAAAGAACTCTCTCAGCAAGTGTAGTAATTTGTAACAGGCTGCAATCCAGCTGTTTACACACAGCCTGGCTGAAAGAAATAACCATGCAGAGCCCCTGCTATGTTCAGTTCTGCCCAGGCTAGAGCAGCTTGTCAGGCTGGAATAATTCTGTTCTGTGCTCAGGCTTTTCACAACACTCACCTCACCATACTTAAGTGAGGATGGATTGGGCTTTTAAACTCACTAAGAAACCATTTTTATATATATAAACATTGTACATCACTCTTTATTGGTCATATTCTATTCTCTGGTCCTCAGCTGTAATATCTTGTTCACCTAGCAGGTTATGCAGCAGCCTACAAAGAAATTATATGTGTTTGGTCTTGATTCCTCTATTCAAAGAGTGTTTAAATATTTAATTTAAAAAAAAAATTATTTAGGAAATGACCCTGGCACCTATGAGACCAAGTAGAAGGAAGGGGGATGATTACAATGCAAGTATTTAAAAACACAGCTACAAAGAGGAAAAACACAGCTGCAAACAAGGCTGCAGAAAATGGTCACGTTCCTAGTGTGGCGGGCAACAGTGATGTTATCACAGATTAGAGAAAAACTGCTTTTAAGACTCCAGTAAATGTAGTCTGTGACTACAAAGATCTGCTTTTCCTTTTCAGTTGACAAACAATGACTGCAAATTATTTGAATTACATGTTCTCCCTAAAAGCTTTTCTAGTAATTTGCCAGAATAGTCTCCATCAAGATGAAATAATTTTGTTTGGAGCTTAGATCTGGTTTATTTACAGTGCCATTTTGTAGTAAAAGCCCCACTACATGAACTGATAATTGTCTGTCTCTGAATTCTGCAAGATTACAGGAGGCCTGCACTCCTGGTCCCAGACGAGGTTTCTCTTTGTGGTTAATTAGCCGTGGGGGAGATTCTCAGAGATGATGAGTTCTGAAAATCCTTCCAGAGACAGATGATAAACAAGCCTTCTCCTGCCCCGGGTCACCTCCCCTAGGAAATTCAGCTTTTGTCTCCTGCCTCCTTCAGGAGAAGCCTTTACTGTGGAGGTAAGCAGGATGCTAATGGGACGCTGTCACACACACGGACCGTGCCCCGTTGGTGTGTCGCCGTGGCAGGGGAACAACAGGAGAGAGCATTGCCTTCCACCTGCAATCCCTGCACTTCGGTGAGAACTAAATTAAGTGGGTCAAATGCCTGTCGTGTTTCTGTTCCTGTTTGTCTGCCTCAATCGTGCAAACTTGTAGTTTTCTCTCAATTTCTTCCCCTGGGCAAAATAATGCAAATTATGTTTTATTCTTTGAAAAAAGGGGGATCCCCCCTCAGAAAAGGGAGGTGCGAAATAAGATGCAAGTAGTGATGTGTTTGTTCTGTAGTATCTCAGTTAACGATGTCTGCAGTCAGGTCACTGTCCTGGGCAGGAGCTGCCGTGCTGTGCCACTGGGAGGGCTGGCCAATGGAGCTTGTTCATTTTATCAACCTGCTTGGAATAGGGCCCAATGTGAACTCTTGTGTAAAGAGCACCATCATTTAATCCTCAAACAGCTTCAAGACCTCCTTTTCAGTTCACGGCTGATGAACACCCAAAATCTCTGGCTGGCCTTTCACTTCGTGACTATTCTCCTTCTTTCGTTTAACATCGCTGACCTTTTATATTGCAGCACGACTAAGCTGTTGCTCAGGACTTGCCCTCCCTCCCTTTTTCTGCCTCAGTGTGGGGAAGTTTATGTTGTTGTTATTTTAAACATTTAGGGAATTTTATTTGTGTGCAAGTCTAGAAGCAGTGTTATCGAAGAGGTGATGCCAGTGGCTGTGAAAGGCACTACGGCAATTAATTCTTTATGCTGTAATACGCGTTTGGGACTTGTGACGCGCAGGAAGCGCCGTGAATGTCATTCGGCTCCTGGGGCCCAGGACGCTGCCCAGGCAGTGTTTTTAAGCGCAAGGCCCCGCCGTGTC